GTAATGCTTTCAGAGCCTCCAGATATAGCCTAAAGCGATTGATAGGGAAAAGGCAATCACAGATCCTACCATTTCAACTGCAATAGATAGGGCTGTCTTAATAGCTTCATTCTTCAAACTCGGACTTAGCAGTCGATCTTTAATGGCGCCAGCCCAGCAGTCAAATTCGTTTGGATCGGCCAACAATTGTTCAAAACCAATTTGAATCTAAATTTGATATTCTGTACTGACTGTGCTCGATATGAGTAACACCTCACATCGAAATTACTATTTACCTCGGTGATCACATTTTGTTGATCGCATTCCCGAATTTGCTTTTGCAAATCGTTTGACGGAACGTATACTTGAGCTCCAACACTAAAATTATTAAAACGTTGAAGTCCGTTTAAGAAATCATACCTGTACATTTGCTCATACAAATAATCATCTTGCTGTCCAGGATCCTCATAGCCAAACTGTTGCTGCATCATATTTGGAGAAGCTCCGGCAATCTAAAATTATTGAGATGAAATTCAATACAGAATATTCAATAGCTAATAAATCAATTGTTTTTGTTAATCCATGAGGTTTGCGGTCAAAAACTGATACAAAAAGCCAAGGAAGAGTGGTGTCGAATCAATAGAGGTCAAACAAAAGGCAATGAAGCGTGAATGAATTTTTGTGCCCTGTACTCTTCAAAATTCCAATAAAGTTGTGTCAATTTTGCCTTGCAATCCACAAAAAGTGAATGCTAAATGAGAGGGATGACAGTGAGACGGTTAGCGAAGAGGGTTAAGTCTATGTTGTTTGTGCATACAAGCCGGAGAGTTGAGAGGAGATAGGAGAAAGATGAGAGAAACAACGGGAAAGGCAAACACGATGCGGCGAGAACCAGAGATTTCAGAGAAACGCGAAAGTTCAGTCGTGAAAAATATGAAGCTGTTTGAGCGATCATCTCATTTTTGAATTAATATGTCGTATCCACGTTATGAATATGTAACATAAGCATTCTAATAGAAAAGCCGGCTCTTTTATTTTTCAATGCCCCTCTCAAATTCTTTTTTGTGTCCTAGCTACGGTATACCCAAATTTTAAAGAGTTCAAAAATAGTTTTTTTTCGAACGTAATTAAGCTTTTGGTCTATAACTATTATTTAAAACGTTTAGAAGTCTTTTAAAAAAGTTGAGCATTTTGCTATCCGAGAGTTCCAAATCCAAAAAAAGAAAAATTTCGTCTAAAGGAGCACTTCTAATAGAGAGCACTTCAATTGGAATAAATACAGTATTTTAAATTTACTTGATTTTGATAGTAGTTTTGCGGCTCCATTCCATAGCCCTGTTGACCACCATACGACGGCGCCGTGTTATTGTACTAAAAAAGTTGCGATAAAATTTCCCTGGTAACTTTAATCTTGTTTAAACTATTTAGCTAGTTGGCTGTTTAGCTTTAAACTAAAAAGTTTATACCTATTTAAAAATTTATGGCATCAAGCTAGTTCAAATAATGCTTACATTGTTCGCATAAGTTTGTCCTTGTTGACCTCTAGGAACAAAAGTTGGAGCATTGATATTCAGATGATAGTTCTGAACTCAATAATTTATTAAATATTAAATAAAAAACCAACGGGAACATTTGTTCCCGTTGTAACATATATTGTTGTATTTAATTTCAACAAACCATGTATTGTTGCTGTTGCATCGGATGCTGACCATTTTCTAAAATAAAAGAATATTGTCTTTAAAAAAAATGCACACCATAAGGGGCGCCATTGTTTGGCCATAGATTGGTAGTTTGGTAGTTTGGCAAACCCGAATGGTAGGAATTCTCTGAGTGATAGCTGCTGTTCTAAAATGAAATATTGTTTGGTTTAAAGGACAAACATCGAGACTTCATATAAACCTTTGCAAAAATCATAGCATAACTTACGCTCTGACTCGAATGAGACATTTGGTCACCATAAGGTTGCTGGGGTTGCTGCTGCTGAGGGTTCAAATGCCAAACTAAAAAAATGTATTACTTATTAAATAAATCAAAAATGGCTTTGGTAATAACGTAAGCAACTAACGTTAACATATCTAATATTTTTACTTTTTGTTTTTACAAAACCGGCTGTTTAACTTTTTAACTAATGTCATTGACTAATCCTACCACGAAAGCCCAATAATCACAATTCGCAAACAAAAAAAACTAGATTTAAAGTTGTAAAAGCAAACCATTGGGCGCATGTCCTTGTTGTTGAGGAATCGGCTGTATGTTATTGGCTCCATTGTACAAATTGGGAGCACCAGCTGGAGGTCTTCCCCCATTTCCAACTCTAGGGTGTTGATCCCATCCATTTTGACCTCTCATCGCTTGATTGCTGTTATCTAAAGATCAACACGTGATAGATCGGTATGCAAAAAAATAAGGCATTGAAGTGAAGGGAAAAGAAGATATATTTATCTCGAGGTCTCGGCGATGAAACTGTAATAGGCTGTTGTTGTTTGTATCATATCGCTCTCTTTACGCAACTTTTTGAAAAGCGAATTCGATTAGAATAGGAAAAGGAGAAAACGCATCGAATTTCACAATGTATCGGATAATACACATGACATCTACATGGTGAATATTTGTTTCTAAAAGGAATCGCAAAATTATGACTAACAAAAATGTAATGATCCTCAAACCCACTTCCTCAACTTTTTGACTTTTGCACATTTCTCATTGTCATACAAACATTCTAGATGGAGGTAGAAAATCTCAACTGGTACATCGAAGAGCAAGAGCCCGTTTATCTTGACCACAATGCCACGACACCGCTACACCCTGAGGTTTTTCTAGATCAATAAGCAGACACGCAAGCCATTTCGCAGGTTCGACGAACAATTATCGATTCATTAAGTCTTTGGGCAAACCCAAGCAGCAACAATCCAAAAGGTTCACCATTTTTTTTGAAAACCAACATGAGAACGTTAACAGCAAAATTGGCACATGATGCGATCGAAAAGGCGCGCCAACAAGTGGCCGATCTTTTCCATGTCACGCCCAAAGAGATCTTTTTTACGTCAGGTGGCACAGAGGTAAAGTCGTCATAAGTACTAATTTTCTGTAACTGCTCTACGTTCTGATATCAAAAAGATCAAGAATACCATTAGACCAACAGCTGGGTGCTCGATTCGGCGATCGAGGAATACAGACAACAGTGTAGAGAAAACCGTGGCCTTCCACACATTATCACATCTGTCATCGATCATCCAGCCATTGTTAAGCCCTTGAAAAGTTGGCATGAACAACGGAAAATCGGTTAGTTTTCTTAACAAGTTGATCCAGAAACGTAGCCTAAAACTATTGAACCCGCATCTTCCAGATGTAACTTTCTGTAACATCGACAAGGCAACGGGTTGTGTCAATGTTTCCGAAGTTGAAGCAGCAATCCGGAATGAGACGTGTCTTGTTACAATTATGCTCGCCAATAATGAGACCGGTGTCATCCAACCAATCGGTGGATTAAAGTCTAAACTTTTAGTTTAGCAACAACAAATTTAGCTGAAATTTCGGATGTCGTGCGAAAAGCTTCGAATCAAATTGGTCGGAAAATCATAATGCACAGTGACACCACACAGGTACACAGATCCTAAAGTCGAGGTTGAATCTAGCTTCAGGCTATCGGTAAAGTAAATATCGATTTAAATGAGCTCAAAATTGATTTGGCAACTGTGGCGGGACATAAGGTAGGTTAATGAATCGCTCCGTATGCTTCTCTTTTTAGTTCTACGGACCGAGAATTGGTGCTCTAGTTCTGCGATCTCTTCTAACCGTACCGATTCATCCATTCATTTACGGTTGCGAACAAGAAAGAGGTTTTAGAGCTGGGTTGGTTTGAGAAATTGGCAACCTTATGAGATACAAGAACTTTTTTATGGTAGGTATAAGAAAAAGGAATTGCTGATGCTTGATCATTAAGCCTGAATGCCGCCGAGCTATTAAAAGTGATTCAAACTTTAAGCTTTCAGAACTGAAAATACGCCGATGATCGCAGGATTGGGCAAAGCTTGCGAATTGGCATTCGCTCATCTGGCACACAATGAGAATCATCTACAAGAAATCCGAGACTACTTTGAGAAGCGAATCAAAGTCAGCCACAGAATTGCAAAATTGCTGTTTAAAAGCCTTTCTTAGGAAGAACTAGAAGGGAATGTGTCGATTAATTTCGAGCATTCTCCCCGTCTTCCCAACACATCGTCGGTAGCTTTCCCAAAATATGCTGATACCAGGTAAAAAGCCCAGGTAGCTCACTGAATCCATTAATTTAGCGCAGACCTTCTATCGAAGTGTCATTCCTTTTACGCAAGCACAGCAGCTGCAGGGCATTCAAAGAAAAGAAAGTTAATAAATGTCGTAGAAGCTGAAAAACAAAATATTAATTTAGAGCGAGTGCTATTCTCATTTCGAGTGGAGTTTCTGAAGAGGTTGCACTTCGGACAATTCGCATTAGCTTTGGAACGGGTAATACAAAAGAAGAGGTGAATGCACCCAACTTGATAATGTCATAAGTGCAAATTCAGGTGGACAGAGTTGTAAAAGAGCTCAAAGCGATGTGTTTTCTTTCTCAATTCGGAACTTCCCTGATTGGAGCATTTAGTAAAGGCCCAGTTCCCGGGTTCTAATATCTTCTCTAACCTGCATACAATACGCAATTTATGGTCGTGATGTAGCATAACGCTCAATGATCTTTCCAATGTATGTAACTCGTAATCAATTCGATTTACTGAGATCCTTACAGTATTTGATTAGATTTCAAACAATTAATAAATATCGAAAAACTGTTATAGAAGATTTATTTGAAAACTAAAAGGCTAAGTTGCATACAAAGCAGCTCGCTTAACACAGAAGCATATGATAATTTGCTAGCCTAAAAACCCGGAAATAAGAAACGAAACGAATATAATGAGAAAAATCTAAATGAGTCAATCATATAATGGAGAAGCACTGGAATCAAACATTTCAAAATAAACACGAAATGCGAAAAAACAATCAAGTTATTTTGATTCAACTCCATTTGCTGGCTTCTTCCCTTCGAGAATCTGAGCGTAGGTGGCCACATGAGAGTGCCTGTTTGCCTCATCGACGCTTCCGTCGCTTGCCGAAAACTCGTAGCCACGATGCTCGATCATTTCCCTTGAATGCTCCAAAGATTGTGGCTCGGTAGAGGCAACTCGAATCAATTCCAGAGGTTCAATTCTAAATGAAAACTTTACAAATATATTTTTAAACTTAAACTTACGACTTATTTGTAGTGTGGCCATCAACATCAGAAAACGAAGTTCGCTTTGGATTTGATTGGTCCTTCAACTGCAAGGAGACCTTTGATGATCGGTCTCCACTTTGTGGTGTTACTGGACTATCCCTTTGATAACAACGATCATCTCTGTATTGGCGATTCGTGTAGTCATCATGATAACGCGCTTTACTCTTTGGTGCTTTGTCAAACTAAAGCACAAAAATTACGTCAGTTAACTTTCAAACAAAACCTGCTGCTCCTGGTGCTCATTTTGCAAATAATGATTTCCGTGAATCCCACGATGTCGCTGGCTATTTTCATACTGTCTGAGGTACTCAACGTTTCCGAAATCCGCATGCGACATGTGAGTGTTGCGATCATTGTGATGATAGGCCTTCCCACCATATGGCCAACGCCCACGCCCGCCACCGCGTGTTGAGGAAACCTAAACATCTAATCGATAATCGATTAATTATAAAGTGCAAGTATAAACATAAAATTGAAACCGACATAGCTCCTTGGCCCTTGGGTCTTATCGGGGTAGGTGACGTTACTATATACCGGGGCTCGACGCTCATGAGTTTCATTTGCTGTGTTTTTATTATAGCTTTGGTTTCCGGTGCCTAAAAGTACAATCTTATCTTTGGCCATTAAAAGGAGACACCTACTGTAATTGCTATTTCGAACTCGGCTTTGAGAGCGAGTACTTGAAAACGATACATTAGTTGAGCCATTCGGTGTGTTGGTTTGATTTGTGTTGTTAGAATCGTCACGACATTGAAAGGCATTACTAAAAGAGCATTACAAGCAAAAGTGACTAACAACAACTATAAACTAAATAACCTACGCTGAATAAGGGCTACGAGGAAAGCTTGCAGAATAATGCAATGGATAGTATCTTGCTATGAGTCCTCCTTGTTGCATCAAACGAGACACCTGTTCTCCCATGTGTGATGAATGTGGAACATTTGCCGATATTTCTCTGAGCACTCCTAAATTAGCATATTGTTAGCAAACAAAAAGAAAAACTACGAGCTGGTTCATATTCAGCTAAACTCTCATCGCGAACGATGTTCGCTGAAGGTTCTTCAGTTTCCAAAAGCAGAGCGTTCGGCGCAGCCATAGACTAAAACATAAAATTATTACAATTAATAAAAAATCTTTTACCTTAATCATAGGCATGTGACCAACGTAATTTTTACACGCAGTTGTCATAAGGCGACTGGATATACCATTGTAATCCGTGGAGTCAAGGGAAATGGCAGCAACAAAACGTGCGTGAGTAAAGGTACTTGCCAAAGAAGCAAATAAACCAGTTACATTGAACTCCTAAAACTTTAAAACTACATGACTTAATTATTTTTTAGACCTGTGTAACAAAATGTACAAAATGTCTCATCGGCTCAGTGGCTAACAAAGGTTCCATCTCGTATTCGCTTTTGTAGTAGTTAATTGTGACGAGATTTTCCGAGTCAAATTCTTGCTTCGATCTTAACGGCCCAAAGTTGAGCGGTTCAACAAGATCATCATTCGTGACATCAACACAGAGCTGCAGTGGAAGAAGACTCTAAACCAAACGCGTTTCAGGAATTCAGGAATATAACACTCGAACTAAAATATATATTATCCTAATAGTGTACCTGCAAAACTCGGCGAGCTTCGATTACAGAAATGGGACTTGTGCCGGTGCAAAAAAACGAAACCATATGCCGATCGATCTTCTCGGGAAAATGAATATCCGCGTTAGTTATTTTTGAAGCAACTGCGATGAAGAAGTATTCAGGCTGTTGTTTGGCTATGATGAGGTCCCATTGGCAAGATGGCATTTCAAGACATGAGCTGAAGATGACTTTCTCGCAATTGTGTTCATCGAAGAGCGCTTTTCTAAAACCGCACACTAGTAATTTAGCTTAAAGACCTAACAAACTTCAAAGATTCGCAAACAGTTGCGATATTTGTTGCATTGCCGATTCGTCCCGTAACATGTATGGTTGGTTCGCTACTCTAAGCCAAACATTAAAGTAAAACATGAAAAAGCTTACATCTTGCGAATAAGACGTGAGCTGCACATTGACAGACTTTAGATGACCATCTTCTTGAAGTTCCTTGATGCATTCCTTGATTGTTTCCTTATTCACGCTTTCTTTACATCCTTTTGTTGAAAAGCTCACCATCAAAGGAGTGAGTTTCTAATCAAGAATACAAAAAGTAAACGTTTAAGATATTACCCGGAGTCTTTTCCTTGCTTCATTTACTTCTTTTAATGACCCGTGAATTAGTATTTGATTGGAAAATTGAGTCAGCTCGTTCTTGTAGCCATATCGCTTAAAATTACTATTTAAAGTCAAATCTAAATAAAGATACCTGTTCATGGTCTTCTTTGTCGGGAAATATAATATCTATTTTCGTATCAGCAATTATTTTTGAGATCGAGTCATCAAGTTTCAGTTGCATTCGATTTGTTTGCATTTCAATGTGATCCGAATGTCTGACTTCCATTGAAAGCGTAACCTTTTCTCCTCCCGAACTAGTCTAAAACAGAAATAACCGGAAACTTTACGTCGCAGAACTTACATCTGATTCATTGTACAGATATGGATTGTAAGTTTCGGAGCAGGCGAAGTTTTTGCGGCATTCCTTGTACGTTTGAACTTTATCTCGCCTCATTTTGGCACCCATCTAAAAAGACAAACATTTTTCAGATAAGAATCCTACTTCATATACCCCAGTTAATTGAGCTAATAATCAACAATAGCTTAACCGATCAAAAACAACAATAAAACACAAACCGTTGCGCTTTGTTGATATTTGTGAAAGAAAGTTCCTTCTTGCGGCGCATTGAGAATCGACTCAATCAACTCTGATGTAATCTCGCCTTGAGTCTTTAGAATGTCGCTCAAGCAGGTTTGAGTCATGTGCCCCATCATGCACCGTTGATAAGTACTGCAATTTGCCGGTCAATGAATTGCTGTCTAAAAATAAAAGTGGTACTTTGTGGGATGGGGGGACCCAACTACATTTTTGGTTTTTTCACTTTTCTAGGGGTAATCGAGGGCGCTGAGCACGAATTTGACAGTTCTATGCTAAAACTGTCAAATAAGTGCTCAGCATCCTCGGTTACCCCAAGAAAAGTGAAAAAATTAAAACTGTAGTTGGGTCCCCCCAACCCACAAAGTACCATAAAAATTATACTCAGTTTTAGATAAGGCTGAAGAAAAAGAAGCCATTACACAACAAAACTTGGGAAATGAAAATTTTTTTAAATGAAACTTTGGTAATTTTTTTTAAAAAAAAAAAGGGAAAAAAAAAAAGGAGAGAAAAAAAAAAAAAAGGGAAAAAAAAAAAAATAAAAAAAATAAATTAAAAAAAAAAAAAAAAAAAAAAAATTTTTTTTTAAAAATAAAAAAAAAAAAAAAATTTAAAAATTTAAAAAATTTTAAAAAAAAAAAAAAAAAAAAAAAAAAAAATTTTTTTTTTAAAAATAAAATTTTTAAAATAAAAAAAAAAAAAAAAAAAAAAAAAAAAAAAAAAAAAAAAAAAAAAAAAAAAAAAAAAATAAAAAAAAAAAAAAAAAAAAAAAAAAAAAAAAAAAAAAAAAAAAAAAAAAAAAAAAAAAAAAAAAAAAAAAAAAAAAAAAAAAAAAAAAAAATTAAAAAATTTTTTTTTTTTTTTATAATTTTCCCCCCACCCCCCAAAAAACCCACCACCACAAAAAAAAAAAAAAAAAAAAAAATAGAGTCAAATGCATGCTTATAATTCAATTGAATTGCTGATACGATTAAAAATATCGGGTGCATTTTCTAAACCAAAGCAAATCTTAAAACTTTGGAAACGCACCAGAAACGCGTTTTTGTGCGAGTTGACGCAAATGAACTTTAGAGGCAATTTTTGGTGTTAAGAGCCTTTTTATAACAAAAGATATTCAGTTGAAAATAGGAGTAAACAATTTTGTTTGGTGCTTTTTAGAATTCAAGCTTCCTCATTTTTTCGGTTGTGATTGTTTTTAGGGAGTGGGACAAATGCGACCTTTTTTTGCGCACCCGGACATTTGCGCACCTTGCCCATTAGCGCACCTTTTTTCGCGTTTTAAAAAAGCTCTAAAAAGCTAATATTAACCAATTTCTATTCCAAAAGTTGTTTTTCTAGGTAATTTTAGGGCGTAGAATCGATATTTTGACATAACAGAGCGTGTCGAACCAATTTGAAAGATAAAACGGCTAGATCAAATTACAGAAAATTGCCGATCTTTCTCTTTGTATAACTCCGTCCGTTTGTTTCCACAAGCTCTGATATGTCAAAATTTCGATTCTACGCCCTAAAATTACCTAGAAAAACAACTTTTGGAATAGAAATTGGTTAATATTAGCTTTTTAGAGCTTTTTTAAAACGCGAAAAAAGGTGCGCTAATGGGCTAAGTGCGGAAAAAAAGGTGCGCAAATGTCCGGGTGCGCAAAAAAAAGCTCGCATTTGTCCCACTCCCTGTTTTTGTGTACTTTTAGTGCGTTTTTCGTTGAGATTTATCAAAAAAGTTTAACATTACATGGGTAATACGGACGGGACGAATCAATTTTGGAATTTCATCTTAAATGAGAACATGGGGGACCGGAGTAGAAGGCACCAAAGTTGAGGACACAGAAGAACATTCAGAAAAAAACACTTGAGCTGCTAGGTGATCTCGTTTGTGTTCAAGTTGGATCAATTTCTGGCGGTCGAGTGTCCACGATGGCGAACGCTCTGAAAGTTGATCTTTCAAGTGTTATTATAAGAGTCAACTTTTAGACAACTATCGTAATCTGGCCTTCTAATCTATCTGACATCAAATGATAGATTGAGTAGAAATAAAAACAAGATTACGGTAGCTTTTAAAAGCTGACACGTTTTAGAAAACGCTTTGCATGGGAGACCACACTCTAGTTATAACATTGAGCCTATTCTTGGTCACATTACAATATTAGGTATTGTTTGACTGAATCAAGAAAGCCATATAGATTCATAGCAATACCTCGTTGCTCCAGCTGCAGCGGCCGCAGCCAACACAAAGATGAATGCCACAATTGTCAGGTACCTGGAATTATTTTGGTCAAACTTGAGAACATTTTCAAAGTGAGAAAAATTTGAAATGATCAGAGCTATAGACGAACCACGAATATCCGAGATGTGCATTGTGAATCATTTCATATGAGGTCGATTGCATGTACACTGGAAGCAAAAGATTTTTCTATTCGCTTTTTGAACTTACTCGTTTTGCTGTCGAACTTGATCGCATACCAGATAATCGCAATAGCTAACAGCAAAGCGGCCAATCCACACATTGCGGCCGCCGGCGCCGCGAGTCGATATCTCGCTGAATTTGTTGCTATAGATGTCTCATAGTGCTGTCTCCTAGTCAGCATATTGTCTTTAGTAAGGCATAAGACTCTCCCTTGACGGCAATTGGATAAGTGCTCATTGGTAGTTGTAGCTCATTGGTAGAGCTCATTGGTAGTGTTGTAGCTCATTGGTAGAGCGTTCCCCCCCGTAAACGTGAGGTCGCGGGTTCGAATCCCGGCGGCGCCGAGCCAGCCAGCATTCCCAGCCAATAAAACGATTTTCAGAGCTCTCTAAGGCTCATTTTCAGAGCTTCGGATAACCTCTATTTGCCACCATGTCAGTGAAATACAACGATTGATCCTGTACAAGCTTTTGCAAAATCCTAAACTAATCCCGAATTCCGAAAAGTTGCAGAAATCTTGTCCAAATTTCCCCACCTTTCGCAAAAATGAGCACAAACGAGATGACGCAGACGAGCTCAAGGAGAGCTGCGAGGATCATACAAGCCAATGTCACCTTCTCAAATGTGGACTTGTACTGGAAAACATGGCATTGATTGGCTTTGTTTTCTCTATAATTCACCCGAAACCATTCATGACAATCTGGTCGGATCACGTATCGATTTCCATTTCCACAATCTAATGTCACAAGGCCAAAGAATGGGGCGCCAGGTCCCTGAAATCAAAAGTTTCTAGCGAATTTCTCAACATTACCTTGAATGATCTCCATCCCGGTGTAAACAGAGCAACCATCGTCAAAATGAATCCCAAAATGATGAGAATCCCATAAGATAACTTGACAGTACGAAGAACTTTCGTCATTGTAAAAGTTTTTTAGTGTTTGTGGTACAAATAGTCGTACACTAGCTGCTTTGTTCAGATGTATTTCGGTTAGAAGGGGACGATGGGGCATCCAGTGAATCTAGGCAACGAAAAGGAAGGGAGCGGGGTGAAGAAGAAGGGATAAGAGGATCCAAAAGCCATCCACATTCATCATTCAGCACCTTTCCGAAAAAAAGAGAGACATTCCCAATCCTTTTCTGAATTTGTAGAAAAGGGAAAAGACCAAAACAGCCATACGATCAACCACCACATTTAAAGAAAAGAACCACGTGCCCAGGATTTTTGAATGCAAAACGTTGCTACGATTTTTGTCCACAAGCTAAAAGAGGATATCAATTACCCCAAAAGTTTTCTAATAGTAAGCAGTAAGAAATGCTAAGGTAATTCTAATTGCTAGGCTTTAGCCTTAGGCCTTAAGCCAAAGCTTTAAAAAGTCCTGATTTCAACCAAATACTGTAGTTTACTTGTTCAACAGGTGCGCTTCTCTCGTTTTCTAAAGCATGCCAACTTTCGAAAGCTACCATAATCCTGGTTCTAATTTTATTCAATCGATCTCTTTCTATAGCTTTTGATATCCTTTATGAAGCCTCAGATCAAATGAAGATAGATTAGATAAAAGCTAAAAACATGATAATTTTGATTATGATAGTTTTTGAAATTTGATACACTTTAGAAAACGATTTGATTAAGTGTAGAGTTGTCTTTTTGCTATTTTGTTCGTTTTTTTCGAATCTGCATTGTTTTGTCGATTTTTTTTTGAAATCTACTTGTTTATAACATTCTTTTCAGAAGAGAACCCAAGACAATTTTCTCTCTACACAAGGCAATTTGATTGTAAAGTTTAAACAAAAATCATCACAGCAATTCAAATCCATGATCTTCGGCTTGTTTCCGCTCTTGTTCGGAGATATGCTGAAAGTGAAAGTTTTGAAAGTTTTGAAAGTTCAAATCTTTCAAGAAAAGCTCTTGTGCTAAAGCTTACCCTTGTCTCTCCACCAATCGGCTCTTCATAGAGTACTGTGAAGATTGGATCTTTTGTTCTTTTAGAGCCGAGTCCTCTTCCCAATTCCACATCGATCACTTGGTTCTGAAAGTTCGGCTCTTCCTAGAGTACTGTGAAGATCGCAATCTTGGCTTGGATCTTGTTGAACTTTTTCACTCACCAAATTCAAAAATCTCATCGACTCTTCGAATTCATTTTTTCCGTTTATCAGAAAACCGATTGCACACGAAGGATCTAAAATAATACTGTTTGATAATGTCTAACCGGACTTATAATCTAGGTCATGCCAGACAAGCTAAAGCCAGAAGCCAGGACCAGATCCAGGTCTTGCTCCTGGAAAAGATTTGATGGCCAGACAAGGCAAGGAAAAGTCAGATTCAAATCTGGCTTGGTTTCTTGATGGGTGTGAAGTAAATTTAGACCATGATCTGACTTGGCCTGGTCTGGCTTTGTTAACGTTTTGTTTTTAGCTTAAGCTGTCAACCAATACTTACCGATATCGGAAATGTGCATTTTTGAGAGAAGTCGGCAATGAAATGAGGAAAATGGCTAAAAGTTTTCAAGTTATTAACAATTTTTCTTCGTTACCTTGTGCTTCGGTTTTGCTTCGTGATCTTTCTCGAGCTCTTTCTCCAGCGGAATGTATGGGTGACTGACGTGTGGATCCAAGTAGATCAATTGCTGAAATGTCCGGGTTTATCTTTTTAAAATAACTTCTTCCAAAGGGAAAACGTATCGATTTCATTGATCTCACCTGATCATAATACCCAATGAAGTACGTCGAGTGATTCGGCTTCCCACCGCCGATTCCCAGCGAGTTCGGCATTTTCAGCAAGTATTGAAGATGTCGATGATAGACCTGAATACTTTTATGTGATCTCCACTCTATATCTTCACTCTATATCCAAACCTTGTTCACCGAATGAGCCCCTAAACGAACGCAGATGAAGAGTAAAAGTGGTCGAGTCCAATTTCTGGTTTCCCGCTCGACAATCGGCACAATGAGTGTTCCATCTAAACATGTGCCTTCGGTGTCATTTTAGTAAACTTCGGTGTCATTTTAGTAAACGGTTTTTGTTTTACTTTTTGTTTTACTTTTTGTATTTCTTTTGATTCTTGATTTTTCTAATACTCTTATTTAAAATAAAATCTTTTAAACCGAAAGAAAACCTGAACAAACGACCATTGCCAAACCAGCTGTCAATGATGAGGTTGATGTTTGGATGGCACGTCTGAAAAGGAGCAAATGAGGAGCAGAGCAGCTAAGGTTTTTAGGGCAGGCTAAGCTAGGCTAGGCCTAGTTATGGCTCTAGAATGGCTTTTAGCAAGTATTGTCCGAAATTCTTGCTTTCAAATATTAAGCAGCAAGTATTCTTATAGCTGAGTCTTTAGGACTTACTTCAATAAACTCAACGCTTCGCTTGGTCGAAACCATCGCTCAGCTGACGCTTTCCCACCCGATAACTCGAGCAATCGATGGATTCCTGAAAATATGTATCATATTCTATTTTCTTTTCTTATTCAAATCCAACCCAAAGGAGCTTCCAGACTTGGCTTGTCCTCAAAAAGCCGAAGAATCTCATAGTGTTCCCAGGCGGTTTCTGGCATTTTCTCATTCAAATTCATTCCTCGTAGATTCCATCTCCAATCTGAATAAATAGTTTTGATTTGTAGATGACAAAATCAAGTAAATATTCTTAATATTCTTAATATTCTTAAGATTCTTAAGGTAACGAACTTCTGCCATGTCTGAGGACAAGAATCGCTTGAGCGACCATCATTTGACTCGTCCGCAACATACAACCCCAACCACAATCGGATCGGATCTATAATTGTAAAGTTTAGCTGTTGTTTAACGCGAACATGTAAATATTGGATTGTCCAGTTATAAATGCGCGTTTTTTACTATTTTGTAAATTTCTCAAGATACCGAAATCAAGAAAAAGATATATATGAGTATTATTCGAAAGCTGAAGATCTCCTCTACATTTTGATATAAAAAGTTTTTAAATTTGTTCAGCTTTTGGGCAAATCGACTGCACAGAAGAAGAGGTGGCCAAAAAATGGAAGGGTGCCTTTGGATCCAGTTTTGGCTGCGCTCAAATTGAGCTAACCGTTTGATGTTTGGTCAATAGATATATCAATACAACTTTTTTAAAAGTATAACAATTTCAGAGCATCTTTACTTTTCTGGGCGGTTATTTTACACCATAAAACTTGAGGAATAGCTAAGCTGGAATGGGTTTTTTTGAAGACGACCTCTCCCTTTGTGCAGTCAATTTCCCAAAAAGTTGAATGAATTCAAAAGCTTTTTTATTCCAAAATGTAGAGGAGATCTTCAGCTTTCGAATGATATATAACACTCATATAAATCTGTTCGGTATCTTGAGAAATTTACAAAATAGTAAAAACGCGCATTCATAACTGGACAACCCAATAGTATCTTGACTTGTAATAATCAATGCTCCGATGGTGAGCTTCTTAAACAAAAAGATTACTATATAGCCTTTTTCTTACTATGTACTATGTAGCCTTTTTTTCAATTCAACTTCTTTATTCACCGTTGTGCCCGGGAATTCGTCGAATCCACTCCTGTACGTCAACCAGATTCTCGAGTAGTAATCGATGAAAAAGTCGTCGAATGTTTGCCCAGGTTCTAGAGAAAATGAAAGATTCAAATCAAATCTAAAGCTCTCACGATTTTTCTCCGGATCATACTCGGCTCCAAGCATCGATATTGTGTCTTCGGCTTCATAATCATTCATATGATCCGATTGTAACATCGAGGAGTACTTCATGTTGTTCCAAGCAGTCCACAAACGATGCTGAAAACTTGCCTTGCCTTGCTTTGCTCATCAATATTGTATTCCTTGCCTTAAACGTTTCCTTTTTCTTCTCATTTTCCTCGACTTGTGTTTCTTTCGTTTTCAGTTTATTCCACATTTGACGACCAGCTCTAGGAATGTTTTTTTAAAAAGAAAATGCTTTCAATCTCACTTCCTAGCGCTCTCAATCCATCCATCTCCATTTGTCGGATTACTTTCAGGGTTTTCTTGGATTTTGTTCGACTCATTTGCATCTTCATAGTCTTCTTCATCTAATAAACTTGAGCAAGTCCAGGTCTAAAATTTTGAGCATTGAAAGCTTCAGTGAAGAAGCTATACATCTTTAAAATCTGATAGTTGTAAGTTGGCTAGTTTCAATCTGATAGTTTCAATTCAACCAGGTTCTTAAACAAAAAGATTACTATTTAAGAAAACATTTGCTCACCATCGGATCATCAACATGACTTGGGCCAGCTTCATTCGAGTGTCCATTCTCATATTTCCTTTGTTCTTTCTTCACTTCGCTACCGTTCACCGAGCTTTGCATAGGAGAAACTGAACTTTTAAAAATAAGATCTAGTAAGAATCTGATGCTCATGCTTGCTTCAGTAAGAATCTCATTGCCATCTTAAAAACTACAGTACTCTCAGTAAAACTCTACAGTGTAAAACTCTACAGTAAAAAACTCTCAGTACTAACACAACAGTAAACCTTATTCTGCTGTGACGAGATTAAGGTTTTCAGTTATGCATAAAAAGTATTCAAGCGTCAAAACTGAATAGCCTTAATAGCGTAGTTGCAAAGCTTAAAAAAACATTCCCTATTAACTCTTGGATATTTTTCTGGTACTGTAGTCTGGTCTACTACTGTAGTTAGCTGAAAAATGTTAGTGAAAAATGAGGCAAAATCATTGATAGCCGGTTTAAAACCAAATCCACAAATTTCCAGACAACTACGATATTTTTATTGCTTATTGTGATCATGAATATACGGCAAAGGTAGAAACCCGTGAACATTTCGAAATGTAAAGGCAATTGATCACAACCGAAGGGGGGAAACCCATGAAGACTATTTGCGAAGATATGTGACAATATTTGGGGGAAAAGGCAAGATTAAAATAAAACAAGATAAAACAAAACAAAATAAAATAAAACAAAACAAAACAAAATAAAATAAAACAAAACAAAACAAAACAAAATAAAACAAAACACATCACAAACTGGGATCACAAATCTGTGCAAATCTGTGCAAATATCAGAAATTTTTAATAGATTTATATGACTGGCTGTTTTTCTTGAGAAATATTGGGTTGGGGAGAATGAGTCGGCGCCGAAAATCAAAAAAATGTCTAAAACTTCTATTCGACTTCGTGAAATAATATGCGTTTGATATGAGTAGAATGGTTAACTAATTCTCTACAAAATGACATTTAAAAGAAAATTCAAACAGCGCCTCCGCTCAAGAAAAAGCCATTTTTTCACAAAAACTACAAACTGTGATCTAGAAAAAACCATTGGTGGGATCTTCCTGCAAATTTGGCAACTTAAGTAATTGAATGTGCTCTATCTTTTTTATATAAACACCAAAGAAGGTTTATGTGAAAGAAACTGTTCAAATGATGAGTCGGACTCTTTGCCATTTTAACCAGCTGCGTTTGGAAGTTCATAAACTCCACGAAAGAAAAGCTTTGTGGAATCTCTCAAAAGTGATTTTGTAGAGAAATAGTGGATCCTTTTGATGAAACCAAACGTATGTTTAAAGAAGGCTTTATGTGTGCAAAAAGTCCCTTTAAAGTTCGGCGCCGACTCATTCTCCCCAACCCAATAGTTTCAAATAGTAAAAGAAAAAAGCTACTGTAATCCCGTTTTCGCATTTTAACACAGTAACCAGCTGAAGGTCATCAAAGGGTAGCTCATTAAGTAAAGTGTATAAAAGTCTTACGATAAAGTCTTACGATTACGGTAGCTTAAACAAACGACTGTGGTGGCTTACATAAAGGATTACGGTAGCTTTATCGAGCGAAAGACTACGCTAGCTTAGATGAAGGATCACGGTAGCTTATAGAAGGATTGTGGTGGCCTATGTAAAGGATTACGGTAGCTTTATCTATTGAGCTAATATTATAGTTTAATGACACACATTTAAAGTAACCTAACATCAAAACAAGGGATCACAAAGTTGCGCAAAATTCTTGTATTTTGAGCTGAGTTTCCAGAGATTGGTAGAGAAGAATTGCTCGAAGAATTTCCCCTCACAGAGACCGTCGACGAATTCGGGACAAAATGAAAGCTAAAGAGATTCACTTTGTAAATTGGCAATTCTTTTATCTTTTAATATATATGTCGTAGCCGATTATGAATGAAATTTTTTGGCAAATCTTTCTAGTAGAGCAACCCTTTAATGTATGAGGACAATATTATATCATTTTGTAGCGAATTAAATTCTGCGTCCATTGGTACCAAATTTGTGGGTTTAGGTTAAAAATTGCCGGCGCTACAACGTTTCATTCAAAATCGGCGGGACCCCCGTAGCCGATTATGAATTTCAGCCGATTATGAATGAGTGGGTCTAGGAGCGTCCAACCATCAAGTATCTGGTATCATTCAACACAGAATCATTAATAATTATGTTAAATTTTTTAAATTAGAAAGATTGAATAAAAAGAAAAAAAATCAGAGCAAAAAAAACTGTTTGTTCAAGAGAAAACTTTGAAGCCCCATAATTTTTTTTCTTTTTATCCAATCTTTCTAATTTAAAAAATTTAACATAGTTATTAATGATTCTGCGTTGAATGATACCAAATACTTGATGGTTGGACGCTCCTAGACCCACTCATTCATAATCGGCTACGACATATAGTTTTAGTAAATCATTAGGCTCATCTATCCCTATTGAGTCTCATTGAATCGAAATCGTTTTGGATTTGTGAAGTTTTCGTTCAATTACCCAAGTCAGTGGGTGATTGAATCAAAGCTTCAATTATCAAAGTCATTGGTAATTGAACCAGTAATTGAACCGGTAATTGAACCGGTAATTGAACCGGTAATTGAACCGGTAATTGAACCGGTAATTGAACCGGTAATTGAACCGGTAGTTGAACCGGTAATTAGAACCGGTAATTGTACCGGTACCGGTAATTGAACCGGTAATTGAACCGGTAATTGAACCGGTAATTGAACCGGTAGTTGAACCGGTAATTGAACCGGTAATTGAACCGGTAGTTGAACCGGTAATTAGAACCGGTAATTGAACCGGTAATTGAACCGGTAATTGAACCGGTAATTGAACCGGTAATTGAACCGGTAGTTGAACCGGTAATTAGAACCGGTAATTGTACCGGTACCGGTAATTGAACCGGTAATTGAACCGGTAATTAAACCGGTAATTAAACCGGTAGTTGAACCGGTACCGGTAATACCGGTAATTGAACTTGAACAGATTCTAAAGATAATTAAAGATCAAACAAAAATTATGATTATTTTTTGTGAAAGTATTAGATTTTTGTAATTTTGTTTATCCGTTTAGCCAAACCTTTGGCGTTAGATCTTTCCCATTGAAGAGTAATCGGATGAAGATTTGCTGCTGCTCGTTTGAATAATACTAAAGCTCTATTTTGAAATTTCTTGATGAGTTGTAAAAATTGTAGCTTAATATCGTTGTATATCAATTCTAAGCAACCTCAAAAACGACTCGACTCGCGTATCTCGGTGGATCTTCCGGCAAAATCCTCAGCACTCGCAATAGCGGGCCAACCGTTGTATCGTGACCCGATAAGAGCTGAAATATTGTATTGATCTAGAATTTTCTATTTTCTTACCATAATCTTGTTCTTCTTTGGATTCTCTTGCAAGATCGGCACCATTTTGGCGACTTTACCTAAATGAAACAATGTTTTCGATGAAGCCTCGCCTTATCTAAGTAACACAATGATTCAACGGGATGTAGAATTCGTGGCAAAAACCCATACAAAAATACTCGCATTGTTCTTTGTTTTGTGAAAAAAATTGAGCCAAATTTAATGCAATCGATTGAAGCTAATCATTTATTTATTTAAGCTATTCTATTTATTTATTAATAGCTATTTATTAATTAATTAGAACTCGGGTTTAATTGATCTAAACTTTTCGTGAAACGCGGAACTTATTGACCGAATTGTTGAAATTGTTGAAATTCTTAAAATTCGAAACTATCTCGCATTTTGGGGTAAAGGAAAAAAACGTCCCGTACTCTTTTGTATATCCATTTTCTTAAGCCACAAACCAACCAATCACACTGTACGCTTCGGCCATTTGAAGTCGCTTTGCAATGAAGTCAGTCTCTCGATTGAACATCGTTTCCCCACGTAATGTGGTCTCAGCAAATATCTGAATATCAGTTTATTGGATATACAACTCTTGTTCTTTAAAGTTTAAGAGTTTAATTCACACTTAAATCTTTGCACTTAAATCATCACTTAAACTTCACTACACAAGAAAGGAAGCACCATGAGGTATACCTTATACTCACTACAGGGTGCGTCATAATTATTGCAACAAGAGTTCAAAGACCGTTTTCCAAACAGCTTTCTTATTTTTTCTGCCCCCTTTTTTGTTGTGTTGCGTTCTATCTTTTTTTATTCTTGCCTAATTGCCTCCCGCTCACACGAAGAAGACGGTTCAGGACTGGTGTGTGGCCAACTTTCCCATCACCAAGGATGAATGGCCTCCAAACTCACCGGATCTCAATGTGATGGACTTTTCTATTTGGGCAATCTTAGAGGCTAATGTCTGCTCTTTGACCTTGAAGAAGTCTTTGACCAAAGGATGGAAGGCGACTCCTCAAGATGACATTCGGGCCGCAGTGGAGGCATATCCGAACCGATTAAGGGCTGTTATCAAGGCAAAAGGCGGTCATATCGAATGATCTCTTGTTTCCTTATTTGTTACTGTTAAATAAAGCTATTTCTGTTTAAAAATCTTCTTCCAGTGAAACTTCTTGGTGTGCAATGCCTTGAGTATCTTGTTGCAATAATTATGAGGTACCCTGTATATTATTGAAGATCTCTAAAACTAGGCAAAAGTAATCTAGGTTTATTAACTCATTTTATAAATCTAGACTTATTAATTGATTTTATTAATTGATTTTATTCATTGGTTATAATTAAAGACATTAATTAAAGAATTAATTAAAGAAACCTTTTCCAAAAGCTCATACGTAATACATTCCCCTTTCACAGTGCATGGCAATTGCTGACGGCGACACGAATAGAAACCGAATATTCTAAAATTTCTTTTAAATCTTCTTTCAGTTTTCCACCTTACTTGTCTTCAAAATCAAAAGGATCAGCGAAAGTCTCGGTTGTGGCGATTTGTTCAAAGATTTTACACTCATCACGGAGAAGAGCGGCCGTTTCTTCTTGGTAGTACTTCACGTGTTCCTGGAAAGCAAAAAGTAATCACTTATAAATAAAGTACTTCATCAATACCACTGACCCTTTCATATTGTCTCCTCCACTCAAACGCTTTCTCACATTTGCACCACTCCTCGTGCTCCGAGCATAAATAAGTGGTGCTCGAGAAATTAGCATAAACATTTCCAGTGATCGTTCTGAAAACTATTTTATTGGTTTAGAACGATACGTTGAAGCATCTCCGTTAACTGAATATCCGTTAACTGAATATCCGTTAACTGAATATCCGTTAACTAAATATCCGTTAACTAAATAACTTGCAAGCCTAGAAACTTTTGGTAAATGACAAAATGGTAGACAGTCATCTTTAATCTACCTGAGTGGGTAAAGAAATCCGGAAACGAAAGCCGTAAGCGATTGCCATGTCCTATTGTATGGAGTTGTCATTGTGAACACCTCAAGTTGATCATCTAAAAGAAAACGTTTTGGCCTGGCTTGGCTTAACAAGATTTTACTGGTGCTTAGCTGGTACTCGTATTATTTAAACAGTCTCATAGTAATAGTCGTTGAATAAAATCTATCTAATATCTGCTACTAGTAAAACATTTCACTCACTCATCAACAGAGACGAGTTCCAGTATCGCTCGTGGAAGAAATTCCCCAATCGATGATGCTGCATTGCTCCCTCAGCGGTCATTTGTCCACGCACACATATTGAGCTAAAAGTTTTCCTTTCAGAAATCTTTTATATTGTTATATTGTTATATTGTTATATTGTTATATTGTTATATTATTATATTGTTATATTATTATATTGTTATATTATTATATTGTTATATTATTATATTGTTATATTATTATATTGTTATATTGTTATATTATTATATTGTTATATTGTTAAACAGTTATATTGCTTCATTTATCAAAAGTACAGTTTTTAAATACCCAACCGATGAGGCAAGTTCGAGAATCCCTCCTTTAAAGCTGAATCCTCTTTGTAGAAGTTCCGAAATTCGTTCGATTCAATTAACTAAAATTTTATAGGTTTACATGAGCAACAAAATACTTTGCACTCAAATAGAAACACGCAGCTTCTAGTGCACTCAATCTTATGATTAAATGTTAGGAAAAGAGGAGGATTGAGTGGACTACAAGACGTGCGTTTCCGAATACAAATTGTGAATACAAAGTACAGCTCAAAGAGTTCTATACACATAATTCTCACGGTGCAAAGTTCCACATTTCGCTTACCTTTACGTAGCGATCGAAAGCTCGTCGATCCGTCTCATGAAATGGCGCACAGGAGATCAAATTGAGTAGTTTCTCATTTTTCGTTAGCGGTGATCTTTCTCCATGTCTTGTCAACACCAACAATCCCCTCAATCGATATTTTCCTGGGTAATCTTTCGGGATTTTCCGTGGCTCTTTAACGATTTCCAGTCGACCTAAAGTTTTAGTTTATATCTAACCCTTAAAATTTTATAAGTTCTAAGATTTCTAATCTACCTTCTTCTCCGTGAATCGGATCCTCAAGAAATTGACAATAATCTCGGAATTTCAGCGGTATCGCATCAGCCGGAGACAATACGGCTCTCTTTCCTGGACAAAATACTTTTACAGATTTAATGCAAAGTAAAAGTAAGTTCCAGGCTACAGTAATGGGCACAAGAATCACTGTAATCCTGATGCTAATTCGATAAAACTCACTTTCGTTCTCTTGTTGTCCATAAATCAGACTGCTGCCATTCCCATCGACAAGTTCGAGACTTGAAAGCCCTGGAGAAAGTTTTTTTTGGGGTTGCTTGAAAATTTCTATCACAAAAGCAGGGTATGGCTTGGCTTCAATCAGGATTATAGAATTAAAAATACCGAAGTTTTTCGTGGCTTTACATAGCTTGATCTATCCTGGCTTTTAACCTAGCTAGCGATGATTTATGCCCTATAGGACCAGCTCTTTTTGCCAAGGCCAGGATTAGCTAGATATGGTAGACTCATTTATTCAGTTCACTCATTCATAGCTATGAGCACAAGTGAAATCATGATCTTACTTATAATAAGACGCAAAGTTTGTCTGTCCGTTCATTTCGTAACTCGAGTCCCATTAGGAATTTTGGTCTGATTTTTTGGGACAATATGTAATCGACTACTGTGGTTTGGCCTGTTAAATCAGATTTTAAAAGTCTTTAACCGTTTTTGTTGGGAAATGTCAATGTTGGGAAAATTGGCGGTGGCGACATCAAAGGTCTCCGTTAACTCCGCCCCTTTTTTGGTCCATTTGCCGTTGGCAACCTACCGTAAATACTGTAATAGTCGCTCACCCCCCTCGTACAGTCGCGTAGTCGCAAAAGTTTTTTAGTATTTCATTTTTTTCAAAGCCCGTACATTCAAAAAATGCGTCTTTGGTATCAAAAAATAGCTGAAATTCAAGGCTATTTTTTGATACCTAAGCGCGCATTGTAGCATAAACTAGTGTCGAGAAAAACTCGTTCAAAGCTAGACTACGCAACACTGCGCACCGTCATTATGGGGGTGGGATAGTATTACAGTATTCACGGTACGTATTTTGCTCGTATCTTAGCCGGGTTTATTTGAATAAACGTTGAATTTGCTTTCATTCGACTCGAAATCAAATTTTCTATCGAATGAAAAAGTAAATCCAACGTTTTTCAAACAAATCCAATCAAGGTACAAGCAAAATTCGTGGATTGCCAATGGCAAACGGAGCAAAAAAAAGGGGGAGGGGAGTTGAGATGATTGCTGCTGGTGTAAGTGATAAACAAACTGACAATTGCCTAAAATCGAGAGGCTCATATAAATGATGGAGATGAAGAGGAAAACACGGAAACACCATTGCACTCCACCGCTCATTTTTGCAAACATTCATCAGCTTTCCTACATCATCTAGAATATTAGTTGAATTCAGTCAATTGAATCGAATCAAATCAAAGTCACAGCTTTAAAAAAAAAAAAAAGATAATCATTTGATCGGAACATATTTCTTAAATAAGTCATAAAAGACAACATTTATTCACAGAATTTCGAAATTGAGATCACTTTTTTTTTGGATTAGATTGACAAGAATTTGAGATCGATGAAGTAAATTTTAGCTTATTTAATATGCAACAAATCTTATAAATATCACAAAATATATGCAAAAATTGGTACAACGTCGTTATACAATCGCACAGCTATATGCTAATGTTATCATAAAGTTGCTGTCTAGGTAGATATTGGTAATCTATTTGTTGTTGTCTAGGTAGATATTGATAATCTATTTGTGTAAATAAATCCTAGACTTATTTCAATGCAAATCTTTTTACTATCCTAATTTTACGATGGTATATGGTATATGCTTGCTTTGTGAGGTAAAACAATATTATACCCAAAAATTCACGTGGCAAAACGCTTAGGAGATTCTGAAAGACAATAAAAAAAAACTTTTTGGCAATTTCAAAAGATATAAAGTGATATGCAAATCGCAGATATGCAAATCGAGAAAGTTTGAGTAAAGAAAAATCACTGAAATGCTATGTGCAAGTAATTTTAAGATAAATAAACCATAGAATCATTGGAGTAATTTTTTGAGGTGTACTCAAACGTGGAAGTGCACCGTTTCGGTACACTAAATCCCTCCATTGTGCACCAGAAGTTGTGTGTTTCCAAAGTACACAAAGTAATGTCTACCACTCAATCTCATCATTGTCATTTTCGATCTGATCGAGGCCGAAACTCGGCACAACGATTTCCTCATTGCGACGGGGATTTGCAGAAGTTGAGGGACGCTGAAAATTATGATAACTTGTAGGTGAAAACAATATTGTGTCTAAAATCTAATTATTTTCAGTTATCTCATAGCTTTCTTATCTTCCATTGTTGATTGTTTATGGATAATTGTATTCTCGGAATTGGAAACCGATTGAAGCTATTCATTTTATTGAGTCTACCAATTGGAATTCGGGTTTAAGTGGTCTAAACTTTAAGATTAGTTTACAATGGCAAAAAATATAGGGATAGATTGGAAAGAGTACCTGTTCAACTTTCGTTTCCCCGTCAGCTTTCCTCTGATTCATCACAAGTGACATATACCTTGCCATCACCGGATCGACTCCCTCAAAAAGGGGATTCTCTTGAGAGTTTGCTTGAGTCTCTAAAATTCTTTTCATCCAACAATTTCCTGTGCCCATTTACCTGTTTCCTCTCTTTTCACTGTTTCTCCTTGTTGTTGATCATTCAAATTTCCCAGCGCTCTCTCCCTTTGCAATTCCCGTTGTCGAAGTCTTTCCTCAAAAGAGGGCTTCTCCTTTGGCCTGAAAATGTGAATGAAAATTCTAGATACACAATAGAAATTGATAGTAATTAAGATTTTAGATAAAATAGACACAAGATATAAGATTTCCCAGACTTACGGAGATTTAGGAACTTCTACTTTCACGGGAGCTTCATCGGGGATTTTGATAGATTCTAAATTTTTCATTTCCTCATTGATCCGTGCTGGTTTTTGCGCGGGAATCTAGAAATTTGGTTACATTCTAATTTTATCGAGTTTATTTTTACCGATTGTTGATTTTTCCAGGTTTCCCTGTCATTAGCGGCTGCTTGGTGACTCGTTTCATCCACTCGACGTTGTCTCGAGGCTTGCTCGTGTCTCTCTTTTTGTCTAAAAATTCATTTTCTTGTATGTTGTTTAAATAAATTGAATTTATGAATATGATCTATGTATTCACCTTTCATGTTCTCCCTTTCTTGAAACTTGTTCACGACAAAAGTCATCCAATTCCTGCGATTCCCAATCGTTTGCTGAAACAGCGCTTCGAAAGCCAAGGAAACGATCTGCGCATGCGTCCAAATCCTAGAAGAAATAGAATTAAAATGAGCTTTATGATGATTGATAACGATTTCACTAATGAAAGTAGCTTAAAAGCTGAATCTAGAAACTATAGCAGTTTAGAATTTATCAGGGTTAAGGATCTCAAGCTGAGCTGTTCCTAAAAGAAAACGTCAAAACGCTAATGGTTTTTGGCTTTTAGAAATAGCCCTGCTTGAGATTCTGAATCCTGGTTAGTCAAGTGAAAGCCAAGCCAAAACCAAAGCCAAGCCAAAACCAAAAGCAAACCAAGCTCTACTTGTACAAAAGCAAAAATACATATTAAGGCTGAGCTTTGGTCTGACTTTGGCTTGGCCTGGTTTTGCCTGAAAATCTTCTAGAAACAGCCCTGTCATCAAGTAAAAATAATTCATTATCTCGCTCAACAGCCATTTACTTACGTGTTTACAATGCTCCATGATCATAAAACATAATTAGAGAGCCATTTAACCAAGTAATCAGTGCTACTCACTCTTGACTTTTGTCCCAAACCATTCAACCGTTTCCGAATCTCTCGAATATCCGAGTCTCCATCCGAAGAAAAACCAATCGTCGATGATGACGTGCTTTCCGAAGAACTTCTAGATTTTAGACATAGATCTAAATTTTTCTATTTAAAGGAAACCTCATTCTGTTTCTTCTCGTTTTTGACAGGCTTCTTCCTCGTCTTTCCTCTCTCATATTTTGCACATCTTTTCTTCTCATTTCTTTCAATTGACTTCGAAGATAATTTCGCTCTTGAGTCACCGTTTTCACTCGATCGTTCTGAAATGGTTTGGTTTTAATTAAAAATTTCAACGTTGGAATGGTTTTCTAACTAGAGGTTTTAAAATGCCCGATGCTCATGACCTTTTAAAACGAGATCAACTCCATCTTATAGAAACGACTACGCTGATTCCGAATCTGTTTTCGTTTTTGCCCTCGAGGCCTCTAACGCGAAATATCTGACAGACAAGTTTTAGGCCTCTTTACTTAAGTTCATTTTTTGCAACGGAGCCAACTACGGACGTGGTGCATCACCAAAGCTGTCGACTACGGTTTTAAAGGTCGATTCGATCATGGATCGATCCCCTTCACCTGGCGACTATTCCCTAGTAAATATTGCCCGTAGAATGTGTGGTCAAGCATCTTGTCTACTCACTTAAACGCTAGATCATCATTTTTAACCTATTCTACTCATTTTTCTCATACTCAGTAAGCTTTTCTCCACCAACCATCATCGTCAACGCCAACCGCAACTCTCGAATCTTCAACTGTGCCGCTTCTTCAGCTGCTCGGTGTTCCCTTTGCATCAACTCAAGTCGCGCAACACTGGCCGAGTTGTCGCCCGATTGACGAATCGTGTCAACGATCTGTATTTGTAATCAATTATTTAAAACTTGAAACTTTATTCTTCATCCTCAAAAGACTAAATAAGTTTGAACTTAAAAAAAAGGCATTCACCTTATATATAACCTGTAAAATTAAACGGATAAGCTAGCTAAAGAACGCAGCAAAAGAAAGGCCCACCTGTTGCTTCAATCGCTGATTCTCATCTTTCAATCCTTGATAATCGGCTTTTGATCGCAATTTTTCCTCAAGTTCTCGATTCTCATTAACACATCGCTTTAGCTGTTCTTTTGTGCTGGATAAATCGTTCTGAAATGAGCTTAGCTTAAAATGAATAAAAAACCCTCACCTCAATCCCCAGCATTTCATCGAGTTTCTGACGAAGCTCGAAATTTTGCGATCCCGCGTCGGCGAGTTTTCTGAAAAATTTATGATTAGTTTAATAAGGGAAAAGTTTACTTTGTAGTATCAGTAATTCTCATCTCGAGAGTTCGAATCCGTTCAAAACTTTCAATCTTTTCAGCTTCAGCAAAAGCTTTTGCCACACGTCTTGCTCGTTCCTCCGTTTGATTCAAACTCGATTCTAAAGTTGCAAATATAAAGAACATTCAAATAAATATAAATATATATAAAAATTTGAATTTTGCTAGATAGTGATTGAATTTGAATAGTTTATTATTCATTTATTCTTCAGTCTCTACAATTTTTCTCTTCTTTTGTTGAATAAGTTTATCTTGTGTGATTTTGTCAATTAACCATGTTCCATTATTACTCTTTCATGCTTACATGAATAGATATTAAAGAAAATATTGATATTGATATTGATATAAAAGCATTGTTCTATAAAGCTTCTCAAACCTTTTCTTTGTATCCTTTCCCTTTCCAATTGTATCCCTTCAATTTCTTCATCTTTTTTCGCTCTCCATTCATTTTGCACAAACTCGAATTGCTCTTTTGCGTTGAGAAACTCGGAAAGACGATTCTCGAGGGTTAGACGATCTGCTTCAAGCTTTGATTCGCGTTCCTGGAATAGAAAATTTTTTGCTTTCATTTCAATCCCAAAATCCCTTTCCTCCAAATGAACTCACCCTTATTTTGTACTCGATTTGGTGTCGAACATTCCTCTCGCGTTCTCTCATTTTCTCCTCATTTCTTCTCCTTTCTTTCTCCAAATCTGCTCGAATCACCGATCGTTCGGCCTCATATTCATCTCGCATTTCGCCCAATCGTCGATCCACTTCACTCTGGAATAGAAGATTGGACATAAATGTAGTTGGAATCAGGGCTAAGCTAAGTTGGAATCAAGGCTTAAGAAAATTCTGGATCGGATCGGATCAAGCTCCAGTTTTACCCCCGATTTCTCAAATCTCAAATCGGATCCAGGTTGATTTGAATAATGTAATAAGCTTTATGATAACTATTTATTTTTAGGATCCGGAAAAATTCTTACCCAAAAGCATCACCACTAGAGTATCAAGAAAGAGTTTTTTTCTCTGATTGTCTTGTCTAGAATCTTATTATTTTCTCTATTCTTATTACTACTTTCTTATCCAAGAATCTTATTATTTTCTCATGAACTAAATGAATTTCAATTCGAAACCATTACCCTTGTCGCGTCTCTGGATTCTCTCATTCGATCCTCGTATTTCCTCTCAACTTTTCGCACAATCTGTTCGGCTAATAGTTTCATTTTTAGCGATTGTTCGACGGGCAGCAGCTGAAATTATATATTTTTTTAAATATCCCATTAAGCCAACCTTTTGATTCGGTTTATCGACATTCATTGCCTGTGCAATCCCTCTTTCTTGACCAATCACTCGAGTCACGGCTCTCGTCAAAAGTGTGTCCAAATCCGGTGGGATAACTCGTGTCTAGATATCGTTAAATTAAAAATGATAATTTTGCATTAACATCTATTAAAGACAAAGACTCACCCTTTGATTCCTATTCATTCTTTTCTATCACTACACTAAATTGTAGACACTCTTTCGTCAACTGATCATTTTCGTTTCGAAACTGAAACTATTAACTAGTAGATGAGAAAATATTATATCGAAATATCGTTGATAATATTTCAAAACGATCAAGTTGAACAAGATTTTCCACGTGAATTAGCAGCTGGTTGCCATATAAGAGAAATGAAAAGAAACGAGACAATCCAAATGACGAAAAGGAAAAGAGAAAGGGAAAAGAAAACCCCACAAACACAGGACACTCATCTCGGCTAGGAAATGAATCAACAAAAGGACAGAGTGACATCAAAAGAGAGTATTGATTTGAGGAGATTTCGCTCAAGTAATGCGTTTTCTAAAAAGTGTCAACTTTTGAAAACTACTGTAATCTTGTCGCTTGTTTTATTCAATCTATCGCCTTTTGATTCTTTTGAGATTCTTTTTAGTATCATAGAATCAAACAAAAGTACCCTAAAGCCGCGAGTATAAGTTCTGTTTGGTTTTCGCATGGTGCGGTGTGTGTTCTCCGGTGCGGTGTGTCGAGGGTTCGAACCCCGCTGCAGCATAACTTTTTTGCTTTTTTAAGAACAATAATAGAAGTAAATTTATTGAGGGTTATAGCAATTTTATGCTGTTATTTGTTGCTCCTCTCCGGTGCTCAGTCTTATGGATCCCTCCCTGGCCTCTCATCCGGCCAAAGTCCACGTCGACGGTCGAAAGAGATGCTTTCCAGCGTCTTCTTCAACACTATCGTAAATAGATTTATAGAGATAAGTTTACGGTAGCTTTCGAAAGTTGGCACGCTTTAGAAAACGACACTAACATTGATAACTGAAAACTTACACCTCACTCATTCAACAGAACACTTTATGTAAACATTATCCCTAAATTGATAAGAATAAATACTGTTTCCAACACTTGAAGATTAAGAAGAGTTTGCGAAGAAAAAGAACATTTAAATTTGTACATTTATTCTCCAAAATCTTTAACTTTACTTGTAAATTATTATTTAGAACTCAAATCGACCATTGTGTTAACTGTTAACGAAAAATTTCCATAATTTTCATAATTCATACATAATTTCAAATTATGGTAATGCAAATTATAGCTTTTCAATCATAAATTTAAAAATTTATCGAGAAATCTTTAAAAACGCTTGCTTTTGAATATCATCGGGAGTGGGACAAATGCTACCTTTTTTTGCGCACCCGGACATTTGCGCACCTTTTTTTCCGCACCTTGCCCATTAGCGCACCTTCTTTCGCGTTTTAAAAAAGCTCTAAAAAGCTAATATTAACCAATTTCTATTCCAAATGTCGTTTTTCTAGGTAATTTGAGGGTGTCGAATTCAAATTTTGACATATCAGAGCGTGTGGAACCAATTTGAAAGACAAATTACAGAAAATTGTCGATTTTTCTCTTTGTATAACTCCGTCCGTTTGTTTCCACAAGCTCTGATATGTCAAAATTTCGATTCTACGCCCTAAAATTACCTAGAAAAACAACTTTTGGAATACAAATTGGTTAATATTAGCTTTTTAGAGCTTTTTTAAAATGCGAAAAAAGGTGCGCTAATGGGCTAAGTGCGGAAAAAAGGTGCGCAAATGTCCGGGTGCGCAAAAAAAAGCTCGCATTTGTCCCACTCCCTGTTTTTGTGTACTTTTAGTGCGTTTTTCGTTGAGATTTATCAAAAAAGTTTAACATTACATGGGTAATACGGACGGGACGAATCAATTTTGGAATTTCATCTTAAATGAGAACATGGGGGACCGGAGTAGAAGGCACCAAAGTTGAGGACACAGAAGAACATTCAGAAAAAAACACTTGAGCTGAAAACATTTTTGAAGCGCTACGACCTTTCCTAAGGCCTTTTCCAGCAAAAAAAGGTCGCATTTGTCCCACTCCCATATCATCAATTGATTATCACAGATACTAAATCATGATTTTAGCTTTAGTCAGAAAATAAACCCAACCGACATTGAACGACATAGAGCATTGTGTTAACTGTTAACGAAAAATTTTCTATTTTTATCATACATAATTTCAAATTATGGTAATGCAAATTATAGCTTTTCAATCATAAATTTAAAAATTTATCGAGAAATCTTTAAAAACGCTTGCTTTTGAATATCATCAATTGATTATCCCAGATACTAAATCATGATTTTAGCTTTAGTCAGAAAATAAACCCAACCGACGTGGCTCCTCCACCAATTTTATATGAAGTACCATAAGGAGACCATTGACCCTGAAAATAACTTGAAAACTTAAAAAGCTAATAATAGAAAAAAAATCGAAGAAGTTAGAGAATCCGTAGACTTAGAACTTATTTAAGAACAATTTACGTAAGAGCTTTGCTGGGCGTAGCTTGGGCTATAACCACCGTTGTTTTGACCTGGAAAATTTAAGGATACAAAGCGATTTTGTTAGCTTTACCATAATTTGCAGAATAGCCTTGAGAATATCCATTATATCCAGCGTATACCGGCTGTTGTTGGCCATAGCTGGCACCAGAATATCCACCGTAGCTCGTGGAAATCGGGGATTGACCTAAAAACTGGATGTTAGCAAGTTAAAAGATGTCGAATGCTTAAAGAATACCCAGTTATTTCTAGCCGTTATACTGTAGTGAGAGGTGTATACCGTATGAAAATATTCGGTCATATCACCCAGCTCATCTTGAAATTTTAGTCCAGTCGACACTCGATAGTAAATCATTGAAGGAATTCTCCAAAAATGATTTACTATCGAGAGTTTTGCCTAATCAGTTCTTCAATCAAATTCAAAACATCAAAAACACTGTGAATAAGCTGATAAATAACATTTTGTGGCTTTAACACGACGTGGCTTTAACACGAAATGCTTAAACAGAAGTAAACACTAGGCTTTGCGGGGATTCAACTTTTCAAAACTGTTTTTAATGACTAGAAAATTAGAATAGCAGCTGATTGTAAGCAACAGTCTTTAGTATATCTTTATATCTTTATATCTTAGTATATCTTTATATCATTATTTCTTAGTATATATTTATATATTTAGTATATCTTTATATCTTTATATCTTTAGTATATCTTTTATATATAGTAAATACTGTAATGAGCATACCAACCAGCATTCCCATAAAGAATGATCGGTCCAAGGGCTGGATTCACGGGCACCGGTCCATTCGCCGTCAAATACACCAAATCACTTGTGTCCACTTGCCCGGGATAAGCTGAGAAAATAAGTAGATAATGAATAGATTTAAAAAGTACTGTAGTGTTGTGGTTGATAGTATCCTTGAGTTCTTTGTGGTGGATAGTAGGCGGGGCGATAGGGGCGATTCGGTGAATAGAAGGATCTCTGAAATAAGTATGCCAACAACCATACGATTTTGAAAAATACCTGATATGTGGAGTATCCTGTTGATTGAATAGGTCTTGTGTTATAATTTGAATTCTGAAAGTGAATGCAATGAGTTAAAAGGAACGCGGGAAACGCGTATTGGTATTGATTTCACTGAGCATTTTATTGCTTTAAATGTCAGCCCGGGGCAGTGCTGTCATGGCCGACTGGCTAAGAGCCCTGTATCTTCATCGGGAGGTCAAGGGTTCAATCTCGCCGACTGGAATTTTGGTTCTTTTTCTCGTATATATAACTTTTTTTTCTTTCATAAATTTAGGGCTTAAGAGTTGTACTTGTGTATTGTTTGTATCACATTATTCGTCTAAATCAATTTATTGTTATTAAATAATAACTAAGCTCACTAACATCCGACTGATAGTGAGACTGAAAATTAGCATTTCAAAGCAAGCTGAACGGTGCTCCGGATGAAAGATTGAATGCACTAAGAATTTATGGAGTCAAAATATTTCTATAGATATGAATGGATTGATATAACTAACTTGGTACATTGGTGTGTTCGCAGGTGGCTGGAATACCCTCATCCTATAGCTGGGAGTCTGAAACTTTAAAAAAATTAAGCAAATCTTATGAAAGCTTCATTTATTTGTTTGAAATTTTCGATATCAAGCTTTGTTAAGCCTTTTTTTTTCTTCTTTTTCTTCTTCTTCTTCTTCTTCTTTAAACTTTAAACCCAAACTTACCATCGAGTTTCGATCTTCGAAATAAGGTGCTAGAGTTGTAGGGGAATTGTCGGGATATTCGGAGAAACTCGGCTTCGGGATTTCAGGCTCAAGACGGGCTTCCTAAACTTTTGAGCTTACAGTAAACCCTAAAACAAGACTACATATCTGTTATCCATTACTGACTAAACCTAAAACAAATCTGTAATCGATTACCTATCGACTAACCCACTCACCCCTTCATCGATATGTCCATAGTTCTTCGACTCATCGGTGGCAAAGGAAAACGCGTTTTCTCTAAAATATTCAGATACCAGAAGCTTCACAGCAAAGATACATTTTGGAAGAAAAAGCAAAAGAATCAGCGACGAGAGGAGTCGAACCCGCGACCTCTCTCTTTCGTTCGTTTGAAAGACGCGCGCGCTAACCACTCGGCCCTGTTCTAGTAGATGGCGCAGTGTGAGCGCACTTGTCTCTAGCCCACACGACCCGGGTTCGACTCCCACCCGTGTCGGCACTTTTGGTTTTATAAAAATTTAAAACCATGTTACACAACTACATGAAATTCTAAGCCAAACTAACTATAAATCATTTGAAACGGTCCTCTGGGGGCTGAGGAGTAGAGCGTAGAGACAGACAGACAGACAGACAGACAGACAGACAGACAGACAGACAGACAGACGACAGACGACACAGACAGACAGACAGACAGACAGACAGACAGACAGGCAGGCAGACAGACAGACAGACAGATAGACAGACGTCTTAGTCCCTTTATATATAGTAGATTTAGGCAATTGTTGAATTATTAAATAGAATTTTTGAATATTTATGCAATGCGAATTTGAAATTTTTAAATTCCTTACTCTTTGTCTTTTCCAATTGGAATCGGTTCTGACTCCTGTGGTGTGGCGGTTGTTGCCTAAAATTTGACCCTTCAAGCTACTGTAACACCGAGCCAGTACATCTTTAAATTATTCATGTTGTTGTTGCACTTTTGATATTCATTTTAAAACACACGAAAAGCTATCGTATTCCCAGGTTTAAATAGTTTTTTTTTTGGTTTACTTTAGTGCGTTGCGACTTTAGATTATTTTCTATGAGAATTTCAATTTCAATATTTCAATGAGAATATCTCAAACTATTTAATTTTTATCTTCAAATATCTCACCGTAACTTTTCCAATATCCGGAAAATCAGGAAATTCATTCTAAAAGGGTTAAATTTTGTTGAAAAATGGAAAAGGGTTCAATTTTGCTAAAGATTTCTAACCGTATCTGAGTCGTGAACTGCTTGACGAGGCGAGTGGTGGCTGAAAATTTGAAATGATTTTGTAGACTAAATACTTTATGTTTAAAATACATTTATCTAAATGTCTATTAACTAAATATCTATTAGCTAAATATCTACCGTAAATACTGTAATAGTACCCCACTCCCTCCCCCCGTACAGCCGCGTAGTCGCAAAAGTTTTTTAGTATTTCATTTTTTTCAAAGCGTCCGTACTTTCAAAAAATGCGTCTTTTGTATGAAAAAATAGCTGAAATTCAGGGCTATTTTTTGATACCAAAGCGCTCGTTGTAGCATAAACCAGTGTCGAGAAAAACTCGTTCAAAGCTAGACTACGCAATACTGCGCACCGTCATTATGAGGGTGGGCTACTATTACAGTATTTACGGTATTAGCTAAATATCTATTAGTTAAATTTCTATTAGCTAAATATCTACTAGCTAAATATCTAAATATCTGTCTTTACCTTCTCCCAAAAATTATAGTAAACCAGGTAAATAAAAGTAAAAACCGCATTTTTGAATGGTTTAGAGAAACGGGATCAATTTAATGCTTAGATATTTATTAATAAAGTTATCAAATATTTCTTGTTTATTTTGATAATTTCTCATATCCTTTTTATCAATCTTTTGACGTTTTCTTTTCTCTTTTGGAAATTGTTATCATACTCGAGTATGATAACAATTTCCAATGGAAAAAAAATTGTTGTGCAGAGACTTTTGTGCTAAAAGAAGGCTACTATGACCTTTTTAGAGCCGCAATTTTTGAAGAAAACATAGCTTCTCTATAGAAATATGGCTTAATATTAAACGGTGACTCTTATAATTAGGTCGTTTTCTAAAACGCGCTCAAAAAGCTTACTGTAAACTATGTGGAAAAGCTACTTGCCAGTTTGACCGGACTGTGTGCGATTACTCTCCACCGTTCTCCCAGTTTAACTGATGTTTGAGTAACACAATTGGTTTAAGGAATGAAGAAGATGAGGAGGATGAAGAAGATGAAGGACCCGGAATCAGGTCCATTTCAACACCATACCTACGAGCCAGTGTTCTAGGAGCTGGTTATTGAAAACTTTCAAATGCGTGTTGTATTGCATTGCTCTCTCAGTTTGACCGCTTTTTAAGTAACTCAATGGTTTAAGGAGATCTAGAATTTGTAGCAAAAATGCGGGCAAATTTAAGGCAAAAATTGATGCCCAAAAAAATTGGGCATAGTGAGGTCTAAAAAGGTGAAGCCAGTGAAGTCGTTCACCGCTCCTTCGCCTTTACGGATCACAAAAGGAAACACCTATCCATCGGCAGCGTGTGTCAGATGGAGATTACAGTGGAGTTACGCAAAAACGAGATGGAGATTGCTCATTTGTGGAGATTACCGTTGCACAGTGGAGTTACGCAAAAGCGGATAAATTTATGGGGCTGGGGCACAACGTTATAATTGTTGACTTGATTGGCAGGGCCGCGCGAACGCAGCCCCTCACGCAAAAATTTAGCTGTTAGCGAACCCCAACTCGGAGCTGCCACACAGGTCAACACAATCAAAACTGCAATGACCATGTCTCACCATGGGGGTCCCGTCTTGATGATCACGAGAAACCCCCCAGCCAAGTTTATGATGCGATCGAGGGAGGGGGTTAAGCAAAAGACGTGCGCCAGATCGAGAGCGATTACGCGGGTGCACAAAGAACACCTCTTCATTCATTTACATAGAGACTCTTCTTTTGCTTTGTAGATGATATAAAAAGAAGATACTCAGCTGTAAATTTGTACGTGGCGTTTTCAGGGTCGGTTGCCCAATTGATTGACGATTGCCGATTGCCCAATTGATTGACGATTGCCGATTGCCCAATTGATTGACGGTGTTTATTTTATTAAATCTTTCAATAAAGGCTTTTAATTTTTATTCCTAGATTAAAAAGCAGGCCTAGAGTTTATAGATTAAAAAGCAAGCCTTTTTATTCCTAGATTAAAAAGCAGATTCTCTTTTCAATTTTTACAAGAATTCGATGCAAAATGAATCATTTATATATGAAGTTTTGTTCTTGTAACGATATTTCAATAACAAACCAAAAAAACCATGTAGTCTGGTCCACTTAGCAAAACTTTTTTGCTCTCTTTCGAACAATTTGATGACATTTCTCAAGATTTCATTCTATACAAAGCTTTTGAGAAAATGATCAAATGAGAAAACCTAGTTAAAAGAGTTTTTTTTGGCTCAAAGGGGATGGCCACATTCATCAGGGTATCGGGAAAAGTGGGGCAGGGAAGAGAAAGAGAAAGAGGGAAAGATCATCTCTCCATCTCTCTTCTCTCCACAAATGTCCACAATCTCTTGGCTTCACTTTTCCTCTAATGACTACTCTTAAAGCTTTTTCTTCTTTTCCCCTTGGTTTTTGGCAAGCTTCTTATCTAGAACCCTTGTCCTTGCTTGTTATCTCTCAACCAACACAAATCTTGTTGTCTCCTACTCGACTCAAAGTCTTTTCTATTTTTCTACTTTTCTATTCTATTTTCTAGTCTATTTTTTTACTTTTCTAGCTTTTCTCAAAGTCTGCTTCCCCTCTGCATTCCTCTTCATTTCCTCGTCAGCCTTTCCCCCTTCCTCTCTACCATTCTTCACCTTCATTTTCCCCATTCCCATTCTTTCCCCTTCGCACTTCTCTCCTTCTCTCCCCTTCCTCCCCTCTTCTCCAACCTCAGCTTCTCGATCCCTTCCCCCTCTCCCGCAGTGCCCATGGGTCCCCTCTCCTCTCACATTCGCCAAATAAGCGACCTCGAGGCGCTTCACCGCCAACGGGCTCTGTTCCCCCCTTTCCCCTCCTCACAAACAACATGTTTCCACCTCAAATCTTTCACCCTGTCCCACTCTTTTCCCCCACAAATTCAATAATATTTGTTTCACCTGATTGAGTTTCATCTCAACTTAATTAATTAGCGCCTCTCCCTGCTAACTGGGTTTGCCGAAAATATCAAAAGATTCTCATTCTTCAACTTTATACTTGATTTTAGTGTATTATAATTTGCATTTCCATAGCGTTTCCCCGTTCTCACTAATCTTTTTCATTCATTGAAATTTTTCTAATTTATTGCGAAATCTATGCGTTGTTTACTTGTTTTGATATTTCAGAGAAAAAAAGAAGACATTTTCGTGGAAAATGGAAAAAGAGCTGAGGAATCGTTGGGATGATGTGACAACATTTATGCAACCGGAAGCAAGGGATCGATGGTGGAATCGGATCGTTGATGCGTATCGATCGAGGCCATTTAGGTAGTGTAAATTGGAGTTAGTTTAAAAAGTTAGTAGCCAGTTAAATGTTTCAAATGTTATCAAGCCAAAAAGTTAGTAAACTGGAATGCGGGTTTGGGTTTGGGTTTGGGTTTGGGTTTGGGTTTGGGTTTGGGTTTGGGTTTGGGTTTGGGTTTGGTTAGGGGCTAGGTGCAGTGCCTACAAGCTAAATATGGGATACGGTAATGAGGTGTTGATTTAGAAATCAATCATTATCCATTAGGGAATTAAAGGCTTCTTTTGGATACTGTTTAATCGTAGGCTATCCAAATACAGTAACGAAATATGGGGTACGGTGATGAGGGTTTGATTTAAAATCAATCATTATCCAACAGGGAATTAAAGGCTTCGTTTCGATACTGTTTAATCGTAGGCTATCCAAATACGGTAATATGGGGTACGGTGATGGGGGTTTGATTTAAAATCAATCATTATCCATTAGGGAATTAAAGGCTTCTTTTGGATACTGTTTAATCGTAGGCTATCCAAATACGGTAACGAGCCATTTAAATGAGAAATATGGGGTAAGGTGATGGGGGTTTGATTTTAAATCAACAGTAAATTTACAGTATTCATCATGGATCATTTATGCATTAGTTTTAAAAATCTTCATCTTTTAGAGGTCTTTCCCATCTATCACAAATGTTTTTTCTTTACGACAAACACAAAGATCAATTGAAGGAACGATATGGATGCGCTGTTGCTATTTTCTTTAAGAAGTTTGTTTTCGTTTTGTGTTTTGTTTTGTGTTTTGTTTTGTTTGAAGTTTTCGGCTTCTATTCTAAATCAATAAAATTCTAGTATTGTCTACGATGCTCATGATTCACAATGCACCGAAAAAAGTGTGCAAGTATTCAACGAATTCGCTCAGGGAACAACGCTTGATCAGGTGAGAGATAAGAGAATTTTTTTTTTGAAGAATTCAGAGGCATTTAAAACTACACTACTGGACAATGAAATATTATATTTGAAAAAGATCGTCACTTTCGCGCGTCTGTAACTCCCTTGTCTTTACCGTATTTCTAAATATTAATATTACCATTGTGTAGCCATTGAAAAGAGCTTTCAGAAAATGTATAATACTAATAGTTTAAACTCAAAGACAAGGGAGTTACAGACGCGGGAAAGTGACGATCTTTTTTCAAATATAATATTTCATTGTCCAGTACTATAGCATTGAAACTGGGTTTTTGATTCTCTAGAATACTAGTCAATACAGTTTAGAATAGTACAGGAATACATGAAAAAGCAAGCAGAGTTGTTCTAAAAGCAATTTTTCGGACCAAATCAGGTTCTGGCCTTGCTGCAGGTCTGGCCTTGTTGCAGGTCTGGGCTTGCCAATAGTCAGATCTAGACTTGGATTCTGGCTGGGTTCTGTCCTTAACATGGACCAGATTTGAACATCTCTGTAAGCAAATTGATAAGCTGAAAAACTAATAGAATAACCAATAACTTGAAAGTAATCAATTAAAACAATTAGAATTTTCAAAGCTGTAGAAAATTCCTTTTTCAGCAAAGCTATGTGACCGATTTGATCAATCAATCGGCCTCCTCGTCCACTGAAGCCAATTTGACTCCAGGAGCAGTTGGTGGGCTTTTAAAAATAAAACTAATGTCAATTTTTCTATTGACCAGACTCAAAACAAACAACTCTCAATTGTTCTTTGTAAAATAACTTTTCAGGAACCGAAGACGTGCACTATTTGATCGATTTCGATATGGCTTTTCTCGGAGATGAAGATTTTGATCGACATGAGAAAGCGATTCGAAAAGAATATCCCGAACTTTCCGATGAAGATTATCGAAAGATGAGACTCAGGGTGAGGAAAAGAAAGATAACCAAGATTGATTTCCTTTTTTTTAGGTGTTAACCTTTTTCCTTCAAATCCCGAATATCTACGCAACAGCACCGATTCGAGAAGAAAGAGAGGGAAAAGCACGAGAGAATATTCAAAAAGAAATTGGTCTTCTTGAAGCGGGAAATAGAACTTATTAGTATTGGAAAGTTTGTTTAGTTATGTGGGTTTACTTTCTATTTCATTGAACTTTTGGATATTGGTTCTGTTGATTGAATATTTTATGGACTGCATTTAGGATACTGCAGGTTCTTACAAGTGATTTCCTTTAGCGGATCGGGATAGAAGTCGTAATTCGGATCGTAATGTTCTCCCGGTTTAAATGCTGTTTAAGTGGCACAACGGAATGACGAATTTGCATTTAACGGGCTAGTTAAA